GGCTTCTTTCTTATGTCAGTAGGCCAGTAGGTTGGAGTTCCTGTGGAAAGAGTAGAATAGCATTGTTGATCAAGAACTTCATAAAGTGTTCTTCCCTTTGGATTGATCAGTCTTGATCCCCAAAACGTGTGCTTGCTATTAAAGTCTCCGCCGACAATAAATTTACTTCCAAGCGACCCAAAAAAATCAGAGAATTGTGAAGCGCTAATCTTATGCCGGGGAGGACAATATACTGCAGAAATAGTTAATGGAAAAGAAGAGAGTTGAACTTGGATTGTTGTTGCTTGAAGGAATTCTTTGTCATACTTTTGGAGTTCATAATGAGAAATGTTGGACTTGATCAATACGGCTGAGCCACCGTGTGCTGTACCATCTGGATGACATGTATGATAAATATAGTACTGAGGAATAAACAAGTTGGAGTATTTAGTGAAGTGGGTTTCACTTACTAGTAATATATCAATTTTATTTTCATTAAGGAACACTATCAATTCATTTTTATGCTGTAAAAGCCCATTTGCATTCCATAATCCTACTCTTAGAAATTTGAACATTATTTAGGTTTATTTATAAGCGTGGTTAACATGCTTATCATCATTGTATTTTGCTGCATGAGCTGATTGAACATACTTTTAAACTCATTCAAAAAATGGAAGAGACTTGAATTAATACTTTCTGAAATTTCTGATTTACTAGATTTGATTGCTTGAGCATATGACATATGTTCTGAATTAAAAAGATTTTCATTACGATGATCAAAAGTAGAATGCTTTGCATAATTTGGATGATTATTCGAATAATTTTGATTAGTCGCACTATTGCTATTGGTATTTATTTTAGGTTTACTGTTCAAGAGGTTTCTATAAGTTAGGCAACCCCTATAATTTGCGGTATGGGACTCTTCACAATTAGTGCAAAATGCAGGTAATTCTTTTGATTTTGTACATTTTTTACTCTCATGTTGATCACCACATTTTACACACCTAAATGGCCGGTTGCAGTAAGATTTTGTATGACCATACATTTGGCATCTACTGCACTGTGCTATTTCTGATGATCTCATTGGAGGTTCAAAATGCACAATTTGATTTAGGATTTTATTTAATTTGAAGATATCGGAGTTATTGCTGCTTGGCTCTAAATCAACATAAAACATGTTGAGTGGTAATTTACTTCTAAAGTGAATAACATTTGTTATATTCCTAACTTTATGCCCAAAAGTTTCAATTGCTGTTTTTAGCTCTGTAATATCGGTTGAATAATGCATATATTTCATGACCACTCTGTATGCTCTTTCGCTGCTAATCTGATAGGTATGAAAAACTGCTCTACGACCTCGGAGATATTTAACGAGGTTTTTATAATCATCAACAGAAGAAACAATAAATTTGATTATATCATTAGGAAATGTTTTAGTGGTAAAATTTTTGATATTTAGAATAGTTCTGATTTCATCAACCATACCTCGGAAATCAACCACACCGTAAATAAAAACTGGCGGTGGCAAATTTTTTTTTTGATATTTCTGAAACAGCAATAGGCTCTTTGTTTGTTAATACGTTAAATCTATTTGTTAATTGAATTGGCTGATCTACTTGTCGGTTTGGACGTTTCCTTTTAGGACTATCAACAACTTGCCAAGGAATGGAATTATAAGTTGAGGGCTCGTTGCAGGATTCCATTTGTTCTTCATTCATGTTGTTATTGCATATTGTAGGATTTACGAAATTAATTGCTGGCTGTGACTTATGTAAAAGATGTTCACTTTCGGGACTGCAGTTAAGCACTTTATCAACTTCAACTAACGGAATTGGTGGATTATATGGTTCATTTTGCATAATTATTAATTATGCCTTAATTAACAGTTTTTTAAATTATATATTCAATGAACGAAAATAAATGTACCCTTACGGGTACATTTATTTGATTATTATATAACACTTCACTAATAAATTCAATTTGTATGTCACTTTGGATGATAACAATGTTTGTTTACACTCACGTGAGGCACAGTATACCTGGCCGAAGGTTCGAAGCGAACTGAGGTCAACTGATAAGAAATATTGAATATTTATTGATCCGATGCTACCTGTACGGCAGTTGGTTTCGAACTGATGTGTGGACTTGATATGAAAGTTTATTTTGTCATGAATCAAAGTTGATAAAATGTAGTATTGTGTATGTAAATTTTGCAATGTGTATAAAAATAGTTTCAAAATTTACTAACATAAAAGCTGAAATTTCATACATATAAATATAATATTTTTTTTAGAATACTGTAAATGCGTACGATTTTTTTGGAAATAAACTTTAGCGAAAATATTGAAACATTCTGGAGTTTTAAAATATAATTTACATAAAGAATAGTCTATTTAGTAACGAGTGTTTAATATAACTATGAGAATAACTGAGTCACATATAGTATAATAAAATTTTGATCTATTTTTGATAGTTTTCTAACAGATTCATCAGATTTTTGTTAATTTGAAAAATAGCTATTACAGAAAATTTACTTCTACGCTGCATAAGTATATAATTTACTTCAGTCTTATTTCCATCAATAATCCATTTTTCATAATAATTTCATGGCATATTTTCCAAAGCAAATGTGGGCGTAAATTGGATTTCAGTATTAGAGGTCACATATTCTAGGATTCTAGACACATTCTAGATTTTCATTTCTATGATTAAAACCGGAATACTTGTCGCTCTTATGAATTATTGAGAATTCTTATCTGCAAAATTATTAAAAAATTCTTTTGATGTCGTAAAACTTAATTTATATTATAATTAGTACATCATGTTTGATGAGAAGTTTTATTTTAGTTACGATGTATGAATTAGCAAAATATTGCAATAATTAGTTGGATAAAAGTTAACTACAAATATAATTTTGTTTCTAATGCAAATTACGTCTTGTGTTTGAAGTTAAGTACACGATTTCAAAGAACACACGTTTTGCTCTAAAATTCTATATTTAACAATAATGAACATAATTTAATTTTCCTTTAATTTTCCGCCAAGGAAATAAGAGCATAATAAAATTGCTTTCATGAAATATTACCATGAATTTTAAGAGTATAATTTATATAAAGCATACTGCACCGATTTATTAAATTGTTATAAACATATTTGCACTTTAATAAAATATTGCGTTTTGATCAGATTAAAATCTCCATCCACATTAAGTACGTCCATTATTCAATACAAATACAATCTTATTCAGAAATTCTCATTTCTATCTCTTTATTTGTAATTTCTGTATCCAAGTACTTTTTTCCTTTTATTTCTGAATAAAATACATTGAAAATCTTGAGCTTGTTGAATAGCATGTAATCAGGATTCATAGCTCTGTTTGCAAAGCTGTTTCAATGATGCAATATGCATAGAAAATAAATTGTCCGATAACAAATTGTAAATTAGACGCAATGTAAAACATCACTTGAGGAAATTAATTCTATTCAAGGGAAATGAAATAATATTTATCAATAATCTAATCGAAAGTAAGTAAATAAATTATAAATAATGCAATAATATTTTTTTTGTAAATGACAAATATTTATATGGAAGACATCAAAAATTTCCTCATCATATTGGGCAGCGTAAGTTTAAAGTAATTATTATTGTTAAATTATTCTTTGAGAACCTATGACATAAAATTCTAATTTCACACTTACAATGTATAGATTTGTCATACGCATTGAATTTGCACTACACACATGAATTTTACTTAAGTATTATTAAACAATCAATTAATTAAGAGTCTTAAGAAACTCAGAACTGTCTCGTGAAAAATTCAAATTTTATACAGTTTAAGCTTTATACCAATTTTTGTCGAACAATTGTCATAACTTTGACTTAAAAGAATGAATTAACAAATTTTGAGATGCAAACTTTGAAACATTTTCAATGAAACTCAAAAAAAAGTTATCATTATTCTTATAAACATTGGAATAAACTGCATTTAGAAAAACTTAGTTTTTAAATCTAATCGTGTATAAACAATTCGTAAATTAATATAATTTCTACATACATAGATACAAAACGGTGAATTAAAACATAAATTCCAATTGAAGACATCCCGCTTATAACACGATTATAACTTGCAATTGAAGGCATCCCGCTTATAACACACTTTTGGAGCACGGTGTCTCTCTAACGCGGTTCTAGAATATTGAGCAAAACCCTTACAAAGCGTTAACTAAAACATTTAGCAAAACCTTTTAAAAGCAAATTAGCTTTAATTTAGAGCTAAACTTAATTTAAAATTAATAAAATCTCCGTACAATAGCTCAATATACGCAATGATACCAGTACAAATAATAACTTAATTGAACAATAAAAAAATAAGAACTTGTTTGACAGTTTTTATTCAAGCGCGTATGTTCTATAAAAAAAGTTTAAGCATACTAAAACTTGTAATAAAAGGATAAAATATAAAAAGATGACAAATTTAGAAAGATTTTTTCACTAAGCAAATTAATCAAAAATGATAGATTTTGTACGGAAAATAAATCATGGGTCTGAAGGTAGTTCAAGAAAATGTTCAGAGAATGAAGATATCTTGCCAAAAAATACTCACTATGGAAAGCACTTATTTTGATCTGAGAAAATATCATTAAGTTGATTAAATATGTTTTACTTCTGGATTTTTAAATATAATAACCAATTTATGATAGAATTATGATATGTAGATATTTTTAATTTTTTTAAACGTGACTCCTCTTTAGTTTCGTATAACAAGGATTCGCATACAACAGTAGTTTTATACAAGACGCTGCTTTCGATTTTTTACATAAAAATGTACTGATCTAAAATATGTAACGATGAAATATAATAGCCAGGATAGACTTATGTACCATTCCACCATATGTCGAATGCATTATAAGTTTGAAATATATGTTTTTTTAATTGAATATATATATATATATATATATATATATATATGTATATGTACCATAAATAAAATGTCATAATAATATTTCAATTATTTTCCTAACCTCGTTTGAGTAAGGCACGGAGGGCAGCGGCAGCCAGTGGTACCCCATTGCGCGATCCCAAATCATCCCTTTGGACCATACCTCGATTAGCAGGCCCGTGTTCACATCGTCGGTTTCGCTGAAAAAAATAAATATAATAGATAAATATAGTACTTATAATGAATAATCACAAAACTAATAGTATCTAGTAATATATTACATAAAATATGAATTTTAAATTGTTTTCGTTATATCAGAATGGCTTAGGGTAAGTAAGTTGAACCACATCTTTCAAAAATTAGTAAAAATTTATTAAACCTTTATTATCGTAGTTACTAAGATTGCTGTACGGTTTAATAATTGTTGTTCTATTTGTTTTCAAATTTGAAACAAAATTACAATTTTTTTTAATTAGTTGAATATTTATTCGAATAGCAACGTAAACAGTTCTTGAAAATAATTAATGACTGTAATATCTTCTGGTGCAGTAAATACAGAAATCATGAAATGTTTATCAAAGAGAACTGCATGTTTCTCATAAGCGAATTAAACCCATACGTCAGAACTTGGAAAAGGAATTAACTCTGAAACTATTTCATTTGAAGATATGACGTATTTTGTATAAACATAAATATTTTACCTTTATAACCTACTCACTTATAAGGAAATAATATCGCTCCAAAAAGATATTACATATTATATATTTCTACTATATTCTTTCACAAGTTAATAAGTTAAAAATGTGCAAAAAATTGTCATTTGTCGGTCAAAAATGATTTATAACATATTTGCGTAATAGGTGATGATATTACTCAAAGGGAGTATTGTATAATATATTTATTTATTTTATTTATTTATTTATTTATTTAAATATATAGCCCACAGATTTCTCCAAGAGGACTCAAAAATACAATTATTTGACATAATGAATAACAATTAAAATATACACAAAATTACAATATATAGTTAGTAACATAAAATGCTAAGATAAAATTTCATATAATGCAGAATGTAACAATAATATTTATAAACAGAAAATAATAAGATATTTGAAAGAAAATAAAAAGATTAACTTGTGCAGATGGAGATTATGTGAATGTCTATTTCATTATTAATTAAGTTAAAGTTAGAGGACATTAGTAAAATTGGCGAATTTAAGAGAGAATTAGACTTAGGGGTGGGATAATTGAAAAATAATTGTGAACGCGAAGATAGCCTTGGAACATTAAAGGATAGTTGATTGAGAATAAGAGGACAGTCTATAGAATTATTGCAAAGCTTAAATAAGAACCTAATTGCACAGATAAATCGACGTGAGGCAAGGGAAGGAATACTAAATTCTTTTAGTAAAGTGTTGTGGTCAAAGCCACGTTCAGGGTAAATTTTATATGTTTTATAATAAAGGTATTTCAGAAATTTTCGCTGAACCTTCTCTATCGCATCAGAGTTGTTAATATGATGAGGATACCAAATAATCGAACCGTATTCTAATTTTGAACGTACAATAGAATAGTACATGCAAAGAAGTGCATTGGTAGACTTAAATTGTTTACAATTTCTTAGTATCAAACCTAAAGATTGATGTGCTCTATTGCAAATATCAGTAACATGATCTGTGAAAAACAAACCAGAATCAAATAGAACACCTAAATCGGAAATTTTATTATCAAATCATCTATCAATGCTGGTGTTAGAAATTTTATAATCAAAAAGTATTGGAACGCGCTTATGTGTAAAACTAAGAATCTTGCACTTTGATATATTTAGATGTAATTTGTTATAGATACACCAAGATTGGAAAAGGTCAAGTTGAGACTGTAATAATAAGCAGTCATCAATAGAATTTATTTTGAGATATAGTTTCAGATCATCTGCAAATAATAAATGTGGACAGTTAATAGTATCAGAAATGTCATTAATAAAAATAATAAATAATAGTGGACCAAGAATGGATCCCTGAGGAACTCCTGAACTAATATTTTCAATGTTGCTCAAGAATCCATTAAGAAAGACAAACTGCTTGCGATTATGAAGATAACTCTTGAAAAAGTGAATAAGTGAAGAATTAAGACCAATCATAGATAATTTAGTAAGGAGAATGTTATGATCAATTTTGTCAAAAGCTTTACTGAAATCAGTGTAAATAACGTCAACTTGTCCATTGATGTCAAGATTCTCAGCTATATATTGTTTAATACAAATTAAATTTGTTATCGTAGAACGGGCAGGCATGAAACCATGTTGATTAATAGAAATTAAAGTTCTAACAGAAGAAATTAGTTCTCTATAAATAATTTTTTCAAATACCTTAGCAAAGTTTGATAATAATGATATCGGCCTGTAATTAGTAATGTTTGATGTAACACCTTGTTTAAAAGTTGGAACTAATCGTGCAATTTTCCAACAATTTGGAAAAGTGTTTGTACGCAAAGATAGATTAAATAAAAATGCAAGTGGATCAGATAGAGTAGATGAGCAATCACGTATAAAGAAAGATGGAATACCATCGAAACCAAATATTTTGGAGTTCTTAAAACTTGCTATTGCATGTTGCACAGTACTAGAATCAATTTCACCTATATCAATCATGATTCTATCATTATGATCAAATAAAATGGGTATGTCAAGTTTAGGCTGATAAACACTAATAAAGTAAGAATTAAATGCATCAACAATAGCATCAGGAGAATCATAATATTTGTCTAGATAGCACAATCTATTAGGAATAATATTAGAAACAGTTTTATTACGCAAAAAAGACCAAAAATATTTAGGATTAAGCAATAGAGAATTTTCAACGTCAATAATATATGAATTATAGGCATCTTTCATAAGTATTTTTATTAATTTCCTGTACAATTTAAAATTTTCATAATAGAAAGTGATATTGGTTAACTTGTATTTATTATGATAGTATATCAGAATTAAACCAAGGCTTAAATTTATTGGAAGAAAATTTCTTTGTTTTAGGAACAAATTTATCTAATAAGCTATAAATTGTAGCGTAAAAAAGATCACATGCATCATTAATGTCAGAACATGTATACAAAGAACTCCACGATGTATTTAAAATTTCCCTGTAAAGATTAAGATAATCCGCTTTGTGGAAATTGTAATGATAGTTATTTTTATTAAATTGCAAAGTATTGGGTGTGGAAAAAGAAGATGTAAGGGAAACAGAAATATAAAGAGCAGGATGATAATTGTCCTCAGGTAAAAGGGGTTCGGTATCATGAATTATGTTGCAAAAGTAAGAACAAAACACTAAATCCAACAATCTGCCACTGATATTGATAACAGAATTATATTGGTTGAGACCAGATAAATTAATAAAATTATAGATAAAGTTACATTTTGCATTAGTAAGATTATGAGATAATTGATCGATGTGGAACATTGAAATCACCAATAATTAAAACATTTTTGTCTGAAACATAAGATTCTAGTAGATCAAGGAAAGCTTCAAAATTCTCAGTAGATACATCAGGTGAAACGTAAACGGTCAATACTAATATGCTTGAATTCTTGAGGATACACTTGCAGCCAACAATATCAATCATTGGAAGCGATTCACAAATAAAGTTCAATTTCAAAAGTTCACAAGTAAAATATTTTATAACTGCAAAAAGTACACCACCACCACGATATTTATTGTTGATACCATAAGTTCTATCACATCTGAAAACATTGAAACTGTCGCAAAAGAATTCAGAGTTGTGAACATCGTTCCTAAGCCATGTTTCAGAAAAAGCGACGAAATCATAATCAAGATAACTAGATGCGAGCAGGCAGTCGGAAATTTTAGTGTTGAGTCCACGAACATTTTGATAGTAACATGTAAAGACATTACTATCTGTGGGCGAAATTAGTTTAAAGAAACAATTCGAGGAACGCCATTAATGTATTTAATTTTAAGATTAACTTCACCTTTTTTCTCGCGTTCAAGTAGCTGAGCTTTCAGTCTTTGATAATAAAGTTGTTGCCTTGGTGTCCGATCCTCACTGATAATCAAATTCTTGAAGTGGACATTATCCTTAATTTTCTTGCAGTTGAACAAAATTTTCTTTGGTAAGTTATTATCCTTGAAGATAACTTTAAGCGGTCTTGGCTTAGTCCTTTTTGAATCATATTTACCCAATCTATATAGTTCGAAGCTCGACGGAACACAAGGTACTCCTAATGAAGCTTCAAATATATTGTTAATCATATTAGTATCAACACTTTTATCATAATTGTTTACGTCATTAAAAGGCTCTTTGGCGTTATATATTATGATATTATATGAACGTTTATTGCGTTCAGAAGTCTCTTGAAATAATGCTTCAAATTGTTCATCATCCAGAATATTATTGTTGCAAGACCTATGATCTTTTAGTGCAGCAACTTCTCGTTGTAGCTGCATTAACATACTCTTGATATCATTCAGGTCATTACCGAGATTAGCACATGAATTGCAATTCCACATTATTCCTTTTTTTGATGATATTGCTCGAACATCAGCCAAGCTCAAGTTCACGCATGAATACTTAAACTTTGTTTTGCACGAAATACATGTCACCATCTTGTCAAAGGCAACTGCAATATTACAGCATGAACACGTATTTTCCAAATTCATAATTATATGCTTATTTCACTTATATAAGCGATGTTTACAACAATATTCAAGAATTTTATGATTAGAAAATACTTATATTAAATTCAAAATATTTTATATGATTTTGACAATGATGTTTTTTTTTTATATATATATATATTTATACTATATTTTTTAACAAGTTATTTACTGTCTTGAGAAAATAAAAACGAATTAAAAAATATAAATAGTCAAAGTTTTAGTGGTACAGGATGATCAAGAGAGCGTCTCAAATAATTGGCACCTGACCATAACCATTTATATACTAGATGACCCGACAGACTTTGTTATATACCCAATTTAAGTTCCAATTTTTTTTTAATATCCTATTTAATATTTTGTTTAATGTCCTTACATTTATAATTTTAGCATTAGTTATATAGGTCTTCAAAACTGCAGTTTTTTTATCAGTATAAGAAATTCAGGAAGAATAAATATAGCATCTACGGTAAAAGAACAATATCACCTTTGTTATTTCCAGCCAATATAATTGCTTCAATAATTTA